CCAATTAATTTTGAATTTTAATATTCCATAATATGTTCTGCCACTGGCATTCTTTAAAGTGCTGCAATAAATTCCCTTTCCACGGTTTCAAAAAACTATAGACCAGGGGTAGGCAACCTATGGCACAGGTGCCGAAGTCGGCACACGAGCTGATTTTCAGTGGCACTCACACTGCCTGGGTCCTGGCCACCGATCTGGGGAGCTCTGCATTTTAATTTAATTTTAAATGAAGCTTCTTAAACATTTTTAAAACCTTATTTACTTTACATACAACAAGAGTTTAGTTATATATTATAGACTTATAGAAAGAGACCTTCTAAAAACGTTAACATGTATGACTGGCACGCGAAACCTTAAATCAGAGTGAATAAATGAAGACTTGGCACACCACTCCTGAAAGGTTGCCGACCCCTGCTATAGACTGATGGAGCTCTTCTTCAGTAACAAACATGGGCACCAGGTAGAATAGACTAGGGGAGGCTAAGCCTCCCCAAACAGCCACCGACCTTTGAGAGCACGGACATGCCTGTGCTCTGCCCCAAGGCCCCGCTCCCGCTTTTCCTCTGTGGCCACACCCATGCTGCTCCTCTTCCCCCGCTTTGTGTCTTCCCCCGGAGATCCACCCTTGCTATCCCAGCTCCACCCCTTCCCCGAGGCCCCCACGGCTCGCCACTCACTTCTCCCCTCCATGGCAGAGGAGAGGAGCAAGCAGTGGTGGCCAGGGTGAGTGGCGGGGGCCAAGCACGGAGAGGACCAAGAGGGAGCGGGGCCTGGAGGGAGGAGGCCAAGCAGGCATGGGCCTCAGAGCAGAGCCTCGCCAAATGCCAGAGCCACATGCTGCCCATGTTAACAAGGTATACATGGGCCTTGAGTTCGGCCATTTTAGATTTCAGAGACAATACGTCTGTTAGACTTGATCTAAACTTGAAAGTTAGATTGGCATAATTATGTTGGTCAGAGGTGTAAAAACAACCGACACCTCTGACTGACATAGCTACATCAACATTACACTTTATTTTAAGGCTTCTTAACAAACAAATCAAAAACCTTGCAGACTCTGCCCTCCTGGTCTGTGCAAGCCCAGCAGTCCCTTTCCCAAGTCTTTCCCTCACACCAGTCACTGCAGTAACCAAAGTTCCCTGGCTTTTATCTCAGAGTCTTAGCAATAAAGGACGTTACATACACACACACCTTATTGCCACTTGGTTTCTGGAGAAATTCCGATGTGTGGTGGCTCTGGCAGTAGTCCATTGAGAGCATAACCCCTAGTGAGCTAATTAAATTCCAGCTCTTTCTCAGGTGCAGTGGGCAGGGCTAATCAATCAGCCAGCTAGCTGCGGCCAACCCTTATGCCTTCACAAAGCCTCCTTTACTACCCAGGCTCCTACCTGTGCTATACAGGCAATTAAATAATTTCTTCTCTCTCTGCCCCTTGACAGCAGACACAGCTTTGTAGTGAAGCTCTTCCCACTCTCCAGTGTCAGTCAGTGTTCAGGTAGAAGATTGTGTCTTTGATCTCTGCCAACATTGTTCAGTGAATCTCCCCTTTCTGCTGGGAAGCTGGATGTGTAACCCTACTAGTTTATATGTAAGATGGTGATTTGGGGTTTGTATCTAGACACATTCTACAGTGTGGCCCTCTTCAAACAGGATTTTTGTCTCTAGATTTGCTTTTATCTCACTAGAGTCTGGGTCCCTGCAAAAGTGCCTGGTTTAGTGTACATGGGCCCCTGGTCTCTGGGATGGGAGTGGTCTATTGCTGACTGCATTTAAGAAATGCAGCAATCAGAGCTGATTTCACTTTCAGGTTGCACCTCGTTCTCTGAGGAGCTTCTGTGTGAAACTGTTGGATAAAGTGGTGACATTTCCTGAACTCTCCTGTTTAATTTGTATTATTAGAGCCAGGGAATCCATCCTCCAGGTAAGAATTTAAGCAAATCTCTCTGTCAGAATGGAACAATATTGGCCTGTACAAACTTCAGAATTCTTTATTTGTTATTTTTCTGGTGACACTTTTGTCTCCAGGGCTGTGTCTGAGCCTGTCAGCCTTGTAGCTGGGCAGTTACATGTAGTCTCAAGGGCCAGAGAGCAAGCAACTGGGGTTTGAATTTTGAATAGAAATCTAAGGGTAAGTGTCGGGTGCTGCCAAAGTGCTCATGGGAGCAAACCCACCCCAGTGCACCCATGAGCCATGTCAGGAGCGGAGTGGGAGTTCAAGATGGGGGAAGCCAAGCTCAGCGGTGGGCTGCTCTGGGAGGAGAGCTGGGTGCTGAGCTCTCAGCAAGAGGCCTGGCCGAGAGCAGAGCCTACGCCCTGGCCTGAAGGTATGGCCCAGCTGGGAGTGTCTGGCTATTACCTTTTCCTTTGTTCGTTTTCCTGCTGCTAACTTGTATATGTCCTGGGAATCTGGACAGGGTGGGCACCCAGAGTGCGGGAGGTATGAGACTCTGTCCCCCTTGGAGTGCTACTGATTTTCCGCACTAGAGAGGCCAGTCCCAGAATGGGTTTATACCCCTACAACACACCCAGGGGCACCGTTGAGAGACCAGCACCCTGCCAAGCCCCACTGTATTACTTTGACTGTCTCCAGATTCAATAAGCAAGTCATGTGTCTGCGTCTGCTCCTCTGCCATAAGAATATTGTTTACTCCAGCTCATTGGCTTTGATATGTCTTCAGTTAAGTGCTGAGTTTGTTTCATTTTCCCCTGACTGGTTTCTCTTTGTACGTGAGGAGTCCTCTGTCTCCGCTGTCTTTTTGGTCAGAAATCCCTTTGTGTAGCTGTTAAAATATCTTGTCCTCTAGGTACAGCTTTAGTAAATGGTTGATAGTTCATATGGGGTTATTTAATGCAGCATTGTCAACAATTTCACTCTCCCCCCACTTCTGTACCTTAGCAGGATTTTATTGCACCATCCCCTGGTACCAGATAAATTAAATTATTTTCAGTTGTGTACAGTATAGAAGGGGTCAGCATAGAGTCAGCCATAGATCACCTAGGCCATTACAGACCAATCAGACATTTTAATGGGGTGGTGAATATCCACGCCGTATTTAAGGTTATAACATGGTTACTGTTGAAATCCGAATTGTAACTCCTCCCTTCGGTCAACAGACATAGGTTTGAAAAACTGCTGTGCCAGTTCTGGGCCCAGCAGAGTCTGTGGGGCAAACTTGAAGTCCCTTGCCCAGGGAGAAGCACTGACAGGTGGAGTGCTCTCACTACAGTTCCCCAGCTCTGCTTCCTCTCTTCATTCTGGAAGGGTGTGAGGAGCAAAAACCACTGCTCTGCAACAACTGTAGCTCCAGCTTACTTTCAAACCCTCAACATTTTTCATAGAACACAGTTGCTGTTTTCTGGCCAGCCCTATTCAGTTAGATTTTGTTCAGTATGTCTGTTCTCTTATTTGTTTAAAAAGTGCATTTTTAAAATACGCTTAAAATTAAATACATCACATTGCCACAAGTAGTTTATTGTGTAGCTGCCTCAGTATCAGTACAATTGTTTGCTGATTATGTTACCCGGGGTTCTTTCAACCCAAGGCTTTTGGTAACTTTTACTCTGTGCGAGGAGGTGTCAGGAAATAAATCAGGGAGACACGGCCGTCCGACCGATAGATGGCTGGCACAAACAGGACAACACAAGAGTGCTTTCACTTAAAGCTAAACTTTACTTAAGTTTTAAGCACTTACACCCGCAACTTACACGTCCGCACCATGTGTTAGTAAAACACCCCCAACCCTCGATAATTACCGAAGCTGAGTGTGGCCTTTGAGTGGCACCGTGACAAGCTTCTGCTGGCCAAACTTTCGTCTGCCGGTGGGGACCCCAAGGTGCGTCCAGAGGGAACGTTCCTGAAGACCCCTTTTTGAGAAGTCCGGTTACCTCAAACTTTCCCCTCTTATTTTTACATTAGTAACATAATGACATATTCCTTAAAGAAAACTTGCTAAGCAAGCAGTTTTTAAAGATTAAGCAAGAGATTTTTTTTTATGGTCATCAATTTACCAGATATGTCGTTTTTTATCAGAGTGTCCAAGCCTTGGGGTCCAGGGAACTACAGGCCAGTCAGCCTCACGTCAGTCCCTGGAAAAATCATGGAGCAGGTCCTCAAGGGTTACAGTGGATGAGAAGTTGATTATGAGACAACAGTGTGCCCTTGTTGCCAAGAAGGCTAACGGCATTTTGGGCTGTATTTGTAGAAGCATTGCCAGCAGATCAAGGGACGTGATCGTTCCCCTCTATTTAGCATTGGTGAGGCTTCATCAGGAGTACTATCTCCAGTTTTGGGCCCCACACTACAAGAAGGATGTGGAAAAATTGGAAAGAGTCCAGCGGAGGGCAACAAAAATGATTAGGGGGCTGGAGCACATGATTTATGAGGAGAGGCTGAGGGAACTGGGATTATTTAATCTGCAGAAGAGAAGAATGAGGGGGGATTTGATAGCTGCTTTCAACTACCTGAAGGGGGGTTCCAAAGAGGATGGAGCTCGGCTGTTCTCAGTGGTAGCAGATGACAGAACAAGGAGTAATGGTCTCAAGTTGCAGTGGGGAAAGTTTAGGTTGGATACTAGGAAAAACTTTTTCCCTAGGAGGGTGGTGAAGCACTGGAATGGGTTACCTAGGGAGGTGATGGAATCTCCTTCCTTAGAGGTTTTTAAGGTCAGGCTTGACAAAGCCTGGGGATGATTTAGTTGGGATTGGTCCTGCTTTGAGCAGGGGATTGGACTAGATGATCTCCTGAGGTCCCTTCCAACCCTGATATTCTATGATTCTATGAATAAGCAATAGTGGTTTTAGACACTTTACTGGTTTGCCAAAATTTCCCCGTTCAGTTAGAGAATGGAACTTTTTTTTTTTTTTCTATTATCAATGTGTAGGAAGTAGAAAATGAATAGGGAATAAGTCAAACAGGGAGAATGTTAATAAGGACAGATCACATCCTCAGTGTAACAGTGTTACTGGTGTGTTTTAGGGTTGCCTGAACGTCTGTTACCACCATGGCTTCTGCTGAAACTGCAGCAATTGAGATGCCAGCCCTGGGCCGCCCTCTCCGGCTGGGGATGCTGTACGACTGCCGCAGTGACACGCTCATACCAGGTACAGTTAGAGCTGCGCCAAACACCACTTTTTTGTAGCTCCCATCTTTATAACAGAAGATCCCAGGTCACTTGTTAGTGCAACTCATAGTAAATTCTAATGTGTTCCCATTAATATCCATCTCTTGTGTTAGAAGAGAAGGAAGCAAGGAGGCAGGACAGTAGGGGCTGAGGCGCATGCGTCTCTGCTGCCTCCCCAGCACAGCCCTATTTCCATCCTTAACGGTCCCTGTGCAAATCCACTTTCCTCTGTGCATCCCCAACCAGCTCAGATTCCCCAATCCCAGTTCTTATAGCTATCTCTGGCCTGGCCCAACTCTGATCTCCCCCACCCCCACCTTCAGCTCTGGTCCTTCAGGGTCCAGACCAGCTCAGCTCAGGCATCCATCCTGAACCAGCTCCCAACTCCCTGCCTCAGCTTCATCACTGTCAAATGGACCAGCTCTGTCCCACCCAGCAATCTCTTCATATTACACTGGTCTACAATTTTTGAGAAGTCATCTGCTTCAGAGATAAAATGTGCTATTTATTATGTATTTTGATGTGCTGAATTTAAATATGACAATTAAAACAACTGATTGGCTACTGTTTCTAAGATATTTAAATTTTTACATTTTATGTCTATGTATATTGTGTAGATAGTAGAGTTTTAATCATAAATTGTAAACCTAGGTCTTTTCATGTGTTTATGGTTGCTTTACATGATAATATTTCACCTGTCCTGTTTATGTAACACTTTAAAAATCAGCAAAA